AGCTCTGTGTCCCTCTGCACAGTCAGCTGACCCATAAACCCCACACAGTGTGGGTTACTATCTGAAGTATGACATTCAGACATTAACCCCCACTTGTAGTCCGAGGAAAAAATCCAGAGTAGCAAAAGCTCCTTACTATATGAGCTTGCTGGTTTCTATCAGCTAGGAAGCCAAGCACAATTAAATACCCGACTCTAGTTTTGGATATTTGTATTTTCCACAACATCAAGTGCTGTGCCTGTGCAGACACATAAATCCCATTCAGCTGAGCTTCTGGGGGGAAATGCTCCTTTGTTTTGCCCATACATTTGGGATGTAATACAAGGTGGACCTTACTATATGAGCTTGCTGGTTTCTATCAGCTAGGAAGCCAAGCACAATTAAATACCCGACTCTAGTTTTGGATATTTGTATTTTCCACAACATCAAGTGCTGTGCCTGTGCAGACACATAAATCCCATTCAGCTGAGCTTCTGGGGGGAAATGCTCCTTTGTTTTGCCCATACATTTGGGATGTAATACAAGGTGGAACAGATGGTATACATTTGGGATGTATAACAAGGTGGAACATACATTTGGGATGTAATACAAGGTGGAACAGATGGTATTGAATCAACTGTAGACAATATTGGAAGGATATGGTTTCATATATGGGTCACTGCAGCCGTCACTAGAAGAAGTGCAATTTGGCAGTGGTCCCAACACCTTTGATTTCCAGGCAGCTCATGAAACTGCGCCGTATGAGCCAAAGTGCATGCCAAAGCAATGAAGTGTGGCCTATTTGCCTCCTTCAGAAGCAGGCATGGGTCAGAGTTGCATGGTTTTTGAAGGCAATCGTTTCAATTACAAATTAATTTGGCTGACACTTTTTTGACCGCTACAGATCAGTAGGAAAGGCCTTGGCAAGAGTTTGCAAGTGGATATCCCATTAAATGAGTCAGGCATTGGGCTGCAGGACTAGTCACAAACGCAGGTGGCTGCTTGCTCCGTCCATTCCATTCTTTGAAGACTATATATACAGTATATCACAGAAGTGAGCACACCCCCTCACATTTCATAAATATTTTAGTACTGTATATCTTTTCATGTGACAACACTGAAGAAATGACACTTGGCTACAATGTAAAGCAATGAGTATACAGCTTGTAGAACAGTGTAAATGTGCTGTCCCCTGAAAATAATGCAATACACAGCCATTAATTGCAATTAATAATGAGCTTAAAGACCACCAGTAGTGAATAATTAGCTGGACTGTGTTACTTGGCCTGCGGTGTAGATGTTTGTATTTTTAGTGGGGGACTTTCAGTGGTGGGGAGTGTTTGGGGAATTTTATGTTTGTGCATGTGTCTGGTCTCTGGGTGTCTGTGAATTTCGTTGTATGGGTATACTGTGTATATACTTACAATGACAATAAATTATTATTATTATTATTATTATTATTATTATTATTATACTGGCAGCAAGAGTACAAAAGTGGCCCTGTGTGAAACCATTGTGTGTGTGGGGGGGGGGAGAGAGTACTTATAACTGGATGTAGAACTAATTTGTTGTTTGTCCAAGTTATAAAATTAGCATTTTGAAAAATTAACTTCACTAATGGCCCTTTCTGCTTGAATCTAGGAACCAGCACTCAACTTTTGTTGTGCTGTACACTTGTGGACTAGCATAACAACAGTTGAATGCTGCTTCCTAGGTTTCTTTAGAGTCTGATATACTAAACAAGAAGACCTGCGTATTGGGAGTTTTATTTACAAACTCGCATGCTGCCTGTAGTTTTGAGCAACTGGGAAGGACTTTTCTTGGCTGGAGTGATTGTCTGTCTATCCAGTACTAACTGATCATTCATTCCAGCTTTTAAAATTCAAAGGCTCTGCCTCTCTATCCCTCTATTTTGCTGGTTGGTGGCGGTTATTTGTTGTTGTTGATCTGTTCAGCTGGTTACTAGTATGTGTGTAGTAAAGAAAGCAGTATACAGGTCTGTAATTTCAAATGACTTAAGTAAAGAAATGTTTTTTTAAAAACTCTTTCTTCTTCAGCTCTCAATTTGTTATGTTACAGAGTACCCAGATCCCACCCACCTATTGGCACTGAAGGCTTTCAGAAGAAGTGCCCTCTTCTGTAATGAATGGAGCATGGATAAATAATGTGAAAGAGCAGAAAACTGAATAAAGAAAACACAAACATACTTGGGAACAAGCTGTTTATTAAAATACTGTTTAGCCATTCGCTTTCAACCTGCTTCCATTAGAAATGTGCATGTATCTGTATTTCTCTCTCTCTCTTTAAGCAACCATTTAAAATGAAGTAGCACATTCTGGGCCATAGAATCTATACATTCATTCAGTACATGTTCACATCCATCACAACACCAGACTTTATAATGAATAGACTATTCACAATCTCGCTTTCAAGCACTAAAGTTGCTTTACCATCAAAACAACAGCCAAGCCCAAAATATAGGTCAAAAACTCACGGCACTTCTCAGAAGCGCTGGTGTACAAACCATGATAATCATTTATCACCAGCCTCTATAGAAATGCAACAAATGGCATCGCCATTTTTGTTTGCATCTCCTTCACAAGCTGGACAATCAATGCTTGATTTTATTTTATACACAAAGTAAAATAAAAAACAAAAAATTGCAATACAATTTACACAAGTGCACTTCAATACTTTTACAAGCCAGTTATGATGTGCAAAGCTCTCAAGCATCCTGCATATTCAGAAGCGTGAATTACCTTCCAAAAAGAGGCACTGCAATGGAACATCAATAGGGTCTCTCTGTGTCTCCTACACTTTGTTAAGATGACACCACTTCTTTTTTGCCAGTGCCAAAACCAAGTGGGTCACACTCTTCTCCTCAAGGCCCTCAAACCCATCTAGCCTACATCTGTGACTACTAATTCAATCCTTTGGCTGATGTGTGTCAGAACCACAGCACCAAAAAAGGGGCCTTGATCCTTTTCCTCTAGTATTCATGTTCTTTTTCAAATATCTATTTCTTCTCAATTCCTCACCATTTAGATTGACCAAATTTCTTTTTCATTAAGAGTCATCACTTACATCCTTACAAAACTTGAAGTATTGTGAAAAATACAGCAAAATTCCTCTGGTGCTCTTTGAAAAGAAGGATTTTCATCTTGCTAAAGTAAAATTCTGAATCCATACTTAGATTTAAGAAAGTCTAATCACATGCAGGACCTTCAGTGCTTTTTTACAAATAGCTAATAATTACTTCTAGGCACTGCTTTGCCAAATGTCACTATTCAATTTACAAGTGGCATACTGACACATGTGGATAAACTGGAAGCATTTAGGTGATAGTGTAGAAGTTTTTGTTAGAACCATCCTAATGCCCACCTGTTTTCAGATTCTGAACCACAACCAAACCAAAAATTGGACTAAAACTTTACATTGCACCTTGATGTTAATTTTCCCTTAAATGCTGGGGGAAGGTCAAGTCATAGCCCCCTTTCCTGGAGATGTTCCAGTCAACTGAGGATCATCTAGTGAATATGATAGCACAGCATTATGTACCCACACAAATTTGAACATGAAGCAAGAGCCCTATTGAGATGTCATGCCTGATTATGTATAGAGCTTAAATGGCAGCAGGAGCATGTTCACAACAAAGTCTGCAACAACAGAGTCTATAGGCAGGTTCAGCTACGTAAATGTGCTTCCACTACTCTGTTTGAGAAACTGGATGCAATACAACTCCCAATCGTAAGAGCACTGTATGCACATGCAGCTGAACACACTTACAGGCTCCACTGCATATCTCTGTATTATATGTGTGAAGGTGGGGACATAAGGGGTAAGGCTTTTGTGCGTATCCTCATCCCCACCACACTTTTAGTCCTACAGAGATTCAGGAACTACACCTGAAGAAGGAATTCTGAGGACTCCTCAGAACAAAGCAGCTGAGAATGACAGCAATGCTTCCCAGCCCATTGGGGGTGATGCCACAGCATTACATAGACAACTGGGTTGGGATATATAACAAAATATTCAAGGACATACAAAGCCATCTGAGCGGGAGAGCCATAATTCCCAGAATTCCCACAGGTGAATCCAGCCAAGTATATAACCAACTCATCTCAATCTGTATATGTTGAAAGAGGACACCATTGTATACAGGAGACATGTACATACATATTTTTCAATATACAGTGCACTTACAAAATCTGTGTATGTGTGAGAGTGTATATGAACCTGTGAAATACACATTAAGTAACAACAAGATACTGTCTATTAGCAAAGCATTTCTTGTTTTGCACTAGTATTAGGTACTTAACAGGAACTTAATCTTGAAGAGAGATACAGAAGGAAAATTGGAATGATTTAAACAAAGATTTGACCCTACATGGCCCAGCATTAAGTAGCAGCAGTCCACACTTCACATTGTGATCAGGTTTCAGTTTAAAAGCTCAGCACAGTTACACGTGGTTACAAAGTAATTTTATGTAGAAGTTGGTATCATTCAGCTTTTATTCCAGGGAAATTCTCAGAAGTGTTTACGTCAGAACTGAGCAGCAAGTGCTTCTCAGACACTGGTGGTATAGAAGCCATCATCATCTGCTTCTGGCTTCTAGAGACATGTAACAGTCCATGATATTACACTCTGGCTCATGTCCTTACCCTGTAAAGAATATCCCTCATACTTAAATTACTGAAGTCCTACCAAGGCACTCCAATTATAGATTGCTCCCTTCATACCAAGGTTGTTTTAAATTGTGGTGTACAGAATTACTCCACAGAAATGTTAACTTCTCTGCAAAATGTACTTCAGACTTTTAAGTCAGAAACAACTTTGGCTATATTAAGTCTGTTCCCTTCCAACAGCAGTTGGTGAGAAAACCAAATGGGTATCCTCAGCTTCTTGAGGACAACAACAAAAAATAAAACAAAACCACTCCCATACCTAAACATAAGGAACTTAACCATTCTGCAGTTGTCCCTCCCCAGCCCTCTGCTCAGACAATTCCCTCCTCACTCAATCTTTGTGCGTCTAAGACAGTATATATATTTTAATGACTACTAAGTCAAATTCAGAGAATGAACATTCAAAAAGTAATAGAAGAACAATACATTATTTTAACAGTTTGGCTCATGGAGAGCATGTTTTAAAAGTAAAGAGGATTTCTTAGATTAGCGTATTTGATGAAGATTAATAAATACAACAGATTTATGTAGCTTTCATCTATCTGAAGGCACACAACATGGTTCCCCTTGTTAACCTCGAGCCCCTGGTTGTCTCAAAGACTGTAACATATGCTTCTAGCGATACACTGGCCAAAGGCCCCCCAAACAAACAAAGAGATGTAAGCTTCAAACTGTAAAACTCACTCTCTGCTTTTTAAAAAGGGGGACGTGTGCCAGCCTAGAGGTTGAGATATTTCTTTTTAGAGTTGGGCTAGACTAAAACCAGATTTAATGTTGGAGGTTTCCTTGAAAGCAGCAGACCAAAGCAAAGAATGGCCACGGATGCACTCTCTTAATCCCACAGCTACTAGCTTTTGTCTACCTCTTTTCACCCAAGCAAGAAAATATCTGTAATGGCAAGAGAGATGATGTGCCATTTCCCCTGTTCTTATGCAACTGCTTCTCTATTTGCAACACCATGCAAATTCAGGTCATGTTTGCCTTGGCCATGCTCTCTCAGCCTTTAAACATACCACGTATATAATATATGTATACTTGGTACTAAATATCTAAAAAAAAGGTGTCAGCCAGGTACAAAGAGCCAGAGTTCTGGCCCTACCTAAAAAGGAGAAGATGGACATTGTTGGCTTGAGAAAAGCACTAAACCTACTTGTTCATTAAGAGGCAACATCAAGTTAACAGCAGTTTGCTAGCCAGACAGAAAACTATAGCTGCTGGCAGAGAGGGATAAGATAGTTACGTTGCTCTATCTACAGATATGCTCTCATGCCCATCTCCCACTTGAGGCAAAGCTCCGGGTGAATGAGAAGTTGATCTCTGAATTTTTGTATTTGCCCCATGCTCCAAAAGGCACAACAACGACAGTACTGTTATCTTCTGTTCCGTATTGCATGGCCTGTAAAAGAGATTACAAAAAAGCAAAGAAGTTTAGCCATTAATCACCAACATTTGAATCGTTTTCTTTCAACTTCAGTATAAAGCACACAGTGTGGAGTTCTAAAATGCAAATCTCAGAATGTGTTGCCAGAGCACCTAAAGAATGCAGACCAGTACAAGCACTTAGAAACTGTGGTCACAGTTTCACCCACCTTCACTCAACTTCAACAGTTCACCATACATCAAGTAGAGTAAAACTAACTGGCAAAGAGGCATATCAGAATACAGTGGTGCTTCAACTTACGAACGTCCCTACTTACGACCATTTTGAGTTACGACCAGCTCTGGCTGCAAAATTTTGCTTCTACTTGCAACCGGAGCTTCTACTTACGAACAGAAAAAGGCAGGGAGAAAAGGCGGGAAATTCAAATTGCTAAGATGAGGCTGCTTCTTTGTAGCTCTTTTGCCCCAGCAGTTATAGTGTGTGTGATCAGAGGAGGCTGCCTGGTAAGGTAAGGTGCTGCTTTTTGCTTTTTAAAAACTGTTCTGGGTGGGTTTTGCAGGGTAGGTTTGGGCTGGCGGGGGTTAGGGCTGGGGGGTGGGTTATGTTTCTGTGCAGTGTTGTTGTTTTGTTTTTTGGTGATTTTTTTTGCAGTCCCCAAAAGGGGACTTCCTCCTTTGTTTATTTTTTTTTGTTTGGTTTTGCTTTTAAGTCCCAGCGCCTTTGGGGCTTGCTCTGTGGTTGTTGTTGTTGTTTTGGCAGCCCCAGTGTGTTTTTGTTTGGTTTTGTTTTTAAGCCCCAGCGCCTTTGGGGCTTGCTCCGTGGCTTATTTTTTGTTTTTGTTTGCAGCCCAGTGCGTTCCTATGGGGCTTGCTCCTTGTAGCCTCAGTGCATTCCTATGGGGCTTGCTTCATTGTTTATTTTGGGGGTTTTTTTTTTAAGCCCCAGTGCCTTCGGGGCTTGCTCCCTGGATTATTTTTGGTTGTTGTTTTGCAGCCCCAGCATGTTCCTATGGGGCTTGCACTGTTTTATTTTTATTTTTATTTTATTAGTATTTTTTTCTTCTGGAACGGATTAATCGCGTTCCAATGTATTTCAATGGGAAATGGTGCTTCAACTTATGACCATTTTGAGTTACATCCATCTTCTGGAACGAATTATGGTCGTAAGTCGATGCACCATTGTAGTCATAATGGCCTTTTTTATTGGCCCCATCTTGTGCTAATTTGAATCCTGTCTTTTTAAGCTCCTGACACAGTTTTTTTTTCCTCTGCTACTGGGGGCTTTTATGCTCATTGCATTCCTATGGGGCTTGCTTCACTGTTTATTTTGGGGTTTTTTCCTCTGCTACTGGGGGCTTTTATGCTTTCAAGCCAGAACAATTTAAATAGACTTCTCCTTGCATGACGTTTTGGACAGTGGGAAGACCCACCCCTGCAATCTTTCTCTGTAGTCACTTCAATTTTTTCTCAAAAAACCCACACTGACTTTAGTACTACGCTTTAGATCACCTCTACATAGACCAAACAAACCCCATAAAAATAATATGAAATAGAGACAACTCTGACGAACCCAAGCAGACTACTGTGTTTTCACAGTAGACATGAATGTATTTGCATTTTATGGAGGACTTTGGGTAACTGTCTTTTTTCTAGCAGCCCATCGGCTTTATAAAGAAACATACAAGGAGAGCTGCAGATCAACTGAGGATAGGGTTAAAGAAAGGAGGGGCTGACATGAATCAAACCACATCAGATAGAGCTCTCAGTATGGCCACTGGCAGCAAAACAATCTGCAGTCTCCATGTGATCATCTAATACAAAGAGAAGTGTTAAAAAAGGCTGTGAAGCAAGTCACAGCAAAGCCAAATCACTCAAATTCTGTTTGCCAGTGTACTCAAAACTTTAATTTCTAAAAACCTCTTCTCTCTAGCAGTGAAATGAAATTATTTTTATTTTGCTCTTTTTGGCAAGAAATCTGTGGGCACAATTGAAAAGTAAATGCTATATACATGTACCACAAAATCAAGTTTGATTTGTTGTAAAAGACTGCAAAATCCAGCAGGAGATCCAACTAATATGAGCTACTTTTGCTTTCTAGACTAATGAAATAAACTGGGCTTTTCTCTATCATAGCAGTAGTTGTGTCAAATCGGCAGAAGGATGTTTCACCATGACCTGTAATCTATTCAAACAGACCTAGCCGGCTTTTGTTCAAAGTGGGCCTCTGGTGAACGTCATTGTTCCTGGTTCATACCTGCTCGGTAACTACATGAGCTGCTTCAGCAGGATCGTGACACTGGTTCACAAAATCACAGATCTCTTGGCTGTTCACCATGAAGTTGATGCCATCTGTAGTAAGGACCAAGAAGCTGTCACTTGCATGTTGCAACTGAAACGACACAGAGAGCATACATGACATCAAGATTTATAGTTGCATGGGAGTCCAGGTTAGCAAATGAAAGATAATGTACAAATGAAAGATTTCAGAAAAATACAGTTATCACATGGAATTTATATTGAAGAAGAATTCCGTAGGCTACCGTTCAGTAGAGATTCAGCCAATACTGATGCTCTCATGAAATGGGCTGAATCCCTACTCCTGCTGGGAAAGTTCCTGCTCTAAAGAGACCAAGCATGCCCCACAGAGCTCCAGTAGCCCTGTTCTCTCCCTGTATGTGAATGCTCCAGCAGGACCCCCTAGAGCAGGGGCCTGCATGCACGAACAAGCGCAGGCGCTCACACACACAAATGAGTGTGTGCTCATGCCCATGTGCAAACGGCAGCACGGGGCTTGTGCGGTGGTCCTTGTGCGCATGCGCAAATGGCAGCATGGCACTCGCATGGGCACGCTGGAGCATGAATCAGCTGTGCTGGGGTGGGTGAGTGCCGGCACTCGCATGGGCACGCTGGAGCGTGTGCACATGTGTGAATCAGCTGTGCTGGGGTGGGTGAGTGCGTGCATGGGGGCAGGAGGTCTGTCTCTGCAGCCCGGTCCGGCTCAGGCCATGGACCGGCACCAGGCCACGGACCAGGGGTTGGGGACCTCTGCCCTAGAGCAGTCTCAGAGCAAGAGCTGCATCTGAAAACCCACCGAACAAAAGATTAAGTAGGAAGGATCTCTGGAAAGCCAGTGAGGCCCGCACTTCTGCCTTTGAAGGGATTCTTTGGCTGATATTTTTGGTTTGCAAACACAGAATCGATGCTTCCAGTGATTCCTTTGACTCGCTGGCTATCTCTGGGCCCACAAATATTGGTTGAAGAAACAGCAAACTTATTTGCACAAGGAGAAAGTTAAAGCGGTACAGACATCATACTACTGTAAGTAGATTTTCCTATCACACGCATTCTGCATGTTACTCAGTATCAGACTTAAGCCCTATTCAGGAATAACTGAAGCACGTGTACACCATATATACAAGCAGGGGACTAGTCCCCTATTCCACGGTATTCATTCAAGTGAAAGTGACTAAAGAGGAAAATATGTTATATACACAGAAATTCTCCACACAAGACAAATTCCAGATTTTTCAGCATCTCGGAGGGGGGGAGGCTGCATGAGATAACAGAGGGCAAAGAGCTTGTATGTTGCCACCTCATGTACAGAATGCATGTGCTCCACTTCTACTTGAACAGGGGTAAAGTGAAATGCCAGGCATATTCACAGAACATAGATTTCTCCAACAAACCTGACAAGCATCCAACAGAACCCAGTAGTCTGAAGAACACAATGTGGAAGGATCAACATGGGTAGCACAATCAGGGATGGTAGTGGAATGTACTGGTACCAGGGTCATCTATACAGCTACTGTTTCAGTGTCAACTGAGCTTTCAAATACATTGGCCATGGAAGCAGGGGATGCACATAGGTCTTACCTGAACCCGTTTCGTTTCTGGTTCAGCTATCACACCATATTTTTTAAGATCTAAGTCTCCTATACTGCGGGTCATTGCTAGTCTGCCATTCACATGAGGCTGTCCCAAGCTGTTCCAGGCTATAAAGCCACCGCATTTCTTGATTCTTCATCCCACAAAAAGAAGATAGGGAGGTATGAAACAGTTGGGCATATACATTTTCTTGTACAGTCAATTCAGTAATACATTTATATAACTGCTTTCCATTGTCATAACAAAGTCCATATTAATACAGCTTGGTAATGTCAAATGACCATTACCAACAACCCTGCAATATTATTACCTACTTCCAAACAGAAGACTCCCATCAAGAAGATTGCATGGATGCTGAACACTTGCAGACTCTTAGCTCTAGCCTACATGAGGCACGACAGGAGTAATCGATGTGAAAGGAGTTAATTAACATCAAGTGGACCACCAGCTCTTGACCTGTGTTCTATTATTATGTATTGTTCTAAAGTTGGAACAAGTATGGGCACAAGGATGTGCTTTAGGTGCCCCTTTTCCAGAGGCTGAAAGAATACATGAAGAATTTTGTGGCACTGCATAACTGAACTTCTCCCCTTGGTGACATGATCAACAGCAGTACCACGTTGCTGTATTGAGTGCAACAGGAGCAGCATTACATATATACGGCTATTCCTCCATTTAAGGACGGACTTTGACACAGCTAGAGCTCTTTTTCTCATGGAAGTAGTGTGTGCTCACAGTGGCATGTGCAGAGCTCCTTCTGATGTGCTACAAATGCAGAGGCAATGAGAGGAGGAGTCAGTAGTAGTGGACCCCTTCATATATTCCACCAGCACAGGAAAGGATTTGTCTGAGGCTGAACGTAAGTTCAGACTCTCAGATTCAGTTGCAGTAACACTTTCTCCTACCCATTCTTTCCCTAGCCCTCTCATCTGACTGCTCTCCTCCAGCCTACCTCTGACTCCTCTGTAATGTATTGTCTACATATGACACAGAGCAAGCAGGGCAAGGGAAGGAATAGGCAGGAGAACCTATGGCTGCTGTTTCTCATGTTGAGATTTTAAAGGGTTTAAATAAATATTCTCCAGCAGCACTTGAATCTAGCAGCACTCTCCATAACCCAGAAGGAATTGGACCTCTGGCCTTGCATCTCATTGCTCTTTATCAAACCATACTAGTCCCCTGTAAATTAAAGAGATCCACTTTATAAAACAAGGATAAACACACAGTCACACATTTTGACAACATACCTTTCTTTCTCATCTTTCCTTTCAGGCGTATGATCAACGGTCAGCTTCATGGCTTTCCCCTTGCGACATAAAAGTGCACGGCTATCACCAACACTGGCCACAACCAGCTCAATCCCATCTCGCAGCAGAGCCACTGTTGCTGTGGTTCCAGCGTTCAGCAAGAAAGCTATAAATATCAGATATGAACAGACTATCAAAATCTGAGTGCTGAACATGCCCATTGTCCTACTTTTCAGCATTTAAACAGTGCCTATGGTGTTATTACTGACAAAAAGTGAAAGCTATAAAATTTAAGCTAAACTTATAAAGACAGAAAACAAAGGACAGACATGCACAGGAAAAAAAAACTATTTTCTACAACACAGCTCCATGCAGGGGAGGTTCAGGAACAAGACATCTATAAAAATTGTTTCTATTTGTGTCCTACTTAACAAGTCTTGTTGCAAAGCAACCACTGAGACGTAAGCCAAAGGGCGCATATCCCTCAAGCTAAAACACTATATACAAAGACATTATATGGATTTAATTGCCAGGGCATCTGCCCAAAAGGGCTTCTGGTTATTGTTACTATCATTTTGAGGGGCAATCCTCATTATCCTCTGCTCCACACTAATGCAGCCACTTTATGCTTTTCCCTCTGAGAACAGATACATAAATACAAGAGGGCCAATTCAGTTGTAAAGAGTCCATCTGTATATTAGTGAGCATATTTTTTCTTTCAACCATAGCCAGCATTTTGAATTACTTCTCCCTCCCCCAAAGAGGAGATACACCCAATAGAAAAGACTTTATGCGTCACAACTACCCTAATTCCAGACTCACAGAGGGCACAAACTGCCCTATAAATACCTAAATTGAAAGCTGGGTTGACTTCTGGGTAACTCATACAGATTTTCTACCTGCCCCCCACCCAAGTACTGTACTAGGATAACAGTTTTTTGGGAGACAGCCTTACAACACAGTCCTATATGTGCTTACTCCGAAGCAAGTTCTTGTGTGTTATTCAAAAGGAAGGACATCTAGAGCTGTAGTCTTCCAATGCTGCTCCAAAGTCCAAGAAAGTCCAATGGAATTTACTTATAGCTAAGATTGTCAGATTAGAGCCTAGGTGTTTTAATAAAAAGCAGAATCCAGTCTGTGTTCATCACTGGACTGACAGGAGGAGAAAGACGGACAAGGGAGAATTTAGAAAGGCACTGAGATGCCATGTAATTTCCCCTCCCAGGACCACCGTACTCAGAAAGTCCACAGCCCCTATTCCTGATGGATAATAAGGGAGCTCCTGAACAGTCAAAATCAAACATGCATCAAGCCTTGTTGTGAAGTGAAAGCACCACAGATTGAAGAATTAGAATAGGAAAGAACACTTCTAAAAGACATGGCTAAACTAAGCAATATTGGTGTGATTTAAAACAGGCATTCATACCACAAAGAGCTTAAATAGCTCCTCAAAATCACTCTTTAAATGGTCGGTTTCGCTTCTACATTTTTATCTCCTGCTCCTTTATAGCTACTGTGTTTTTTCCACAGCAGGAAACTTATTGACTGTTAGTCCCTGTTATATAGCATATGCAGCCTAATCTTATTCATGCTTATTTGAAAAAGCACTTGAATGGCTCTTACTTCCAAGAAGGTGTGCAAAAATTGCTGACCCAATTTGATTTTTACAATGTGCAGAAGATGACTGCATCTTCAATACAAGCTCCACTTGGGCATATTTAAACAGAGGCAAAGAAGAGAAAAGTAATATGCCTATGTTTGAGGTGAGCTATTACAAACATCAGTGGACAAATACCTGTTTTAACCAGTAAGAGAAAAACACAACAGGATATAAAACACTAAGCTAGCATTTGCTCTCTTCTCCCTGATCCCCTCTAAAAAATATTAAAGGCTACAACTTGATATTTCACCACTAGTCCCTACCATTCCTTGCTTTTGGAACTGCAATGGTACCCAGATGAAAGTGCCAAGACTTTCCAGCCCCAAGGTGTTTTGCCAGGCTTACTAAATCAATGGATTTATTTTTTAGTCTTCTCAAACTTGAAAACAAGGGAAATTTCAGAAAAATGTGTGTACACCAATACTTGAAGATGGCTTACAAAAGCACAGGCTAATGGTACCTTGGAAAGGATACACCATTTATGTCCTTCTTGCAATGCTCAGTGGTGTTCTGCTCCTGTGGCATGCCACTCCAGGTCCAAGGGAGAACAGAAATATTCTTTATAAACATACTCATGAATGCCAGGGAGCATTCATGTCCTGGTCATATTAACTGAAGTCAAAACTCTGAGAGGTTAATTCCTTACTTCTTGTCATATTAACTGAAGTCTATGCCAAGAGGTTAATTCCTCACTTCCTGTCATATTAACTGAAGTCTATTCCATGAAGTTAATCAATTACAGATACAATAAAGAAAAGTCTTCCTTATACGAGTCCTCCAAGTACAATGGACTACAAAAGGAGATTTGTACAAGGGCAATCTTAAAAAGCCTGGTGGAGGAACCAAAGCAACACAGGCTAGTGAGTTAGCTTTGTAAGTACTGCAGTTCCAAAAGCGAGGAATAACGGTAGGACTTTATTCCAGATTTATTTAACAGTAGGAGAAAAATTACCAGTTCAGAACAGAGATTGGTTTAACATTTTCTAAACATCAGATTTGTTGTTTTTTTTCCCCTTAAACAACATCACTACATAAATGAATCATCTAAAAATCTTTTAATAGGTATCATTACACTCACTGGACATTTTTAGAGCATGCCATCTCAACTAATGTGACAAAGTGGATGTGGGAACCTTCCAGTAGTCCAGGCTAGGAACCCGCCAGACTCCTTCACCTGGGACCACATTAAGCAGATCTCTTTTTCGACTGAAGCCCAGCATATAGAGTCCCGGGCCTTCAATTCTAGAGCTGTTGGTCGGGAGTCTGCCATAAATAACATGTACACAGAGGCAAATAGGAAAAAAATCACCCAGAAATTTTGCTCATTAAAAAAAAGAGGAAACCTGCAACACCTAGGAAGATGAGAGCTGAAAAATGGGAACAGAGTATTCAGAACCCGGGGATTTTAATTTATCTTCCCCCCCCCCAAGAAGCCTGTTAATCCATTTGCAGAGAAATGGATTAGAAATTTTAGGTTCAATTCAGAAATGCAGGGTTCCAAAAGGTATGTAAAGGGATTGTTTTATTTCAGAACAATTTAATAGATGCTTAGGAAATAACCAAATAAGATTTTCTATTGTTGACATTATGTTATTTTGGATTTATATAATATTATCAGCCATACGCAAAAATTGTTCGGCTTCACTCCTCTTCTAGCTTTGGGCTAGCAAAAGCCACCAAACAATTTGTCAAAAAGTCCTGGCCTTATTCTGGGCAAAGATTTGTAACTTTAAAGGGCAATCCAACTATAATGCTCTAGCTGAGTTTCATATTAAAGGGCTGCGATCTTCCACAGTGCAAATGCACTGTTTGCTGGAAATTTACTTGTACACTTTTACTAAGTTAACCAGGATATGCCAAAGCACAGCCTCTGTTCATTTCTAGTACGGCTTGAGCAAAAAAGTATTCCTTTGAACTATGCCCAATGGCCCAGAAAAAGGCACAGTAAATCATCCGGCTTCATTGGTATAAACTAAGATTTGTTTATTAAACATGAACATACATTTCTGCCTCTCACTTCTTCAGTGCTGCAGGTTAACATATTAAAGCTTAAAAACCAAGGTTTGGACTTAAAGTACCTTGAACAAAGTAACAAAAACTATTTCATTTCTTAATGTACTATTAAGGCTATTTTTGCCATTTAAGACAGGGTGGTCATGCTGCAACCCTCTAGATGCTGAACTGCAACTCCCACTAGGTCTAGCTGGCACAGTCAATAACGAGGCATAATGAGAGTTGCAGTGACACAATATATAGATGCCCACCAAATGGAAAACCCAATGACCAAGACACATTCAAAAGAACATCTAGGACCAGCTGGAAAAACAGCCAAATATAGTTAGGAAAGTGGCTTCATCATATATTGGGGTGCCAGTTTTACAGTTTTAGATTTTCTAATGAAGACCAGTGCAAAAGATTCAAATGAACGGATCTGAAGTGTAGTACAGTTTCATCTGATTACTTGTTCAATGGGCCAAGGTCATTCAGCAGAGTAGAGAGACTTTAGTCTTCCATGTTTTGAACTACAGCTCCCATAATCTTTTAATATTAAGTCATACTAATTGGAACTTCTAAAACAAAGTCCAAAATATCCCTGACTATCAGACTGTAATTATACAGCCCAATCCTGAACATGTTAACTAAAGTCTATCAGGTTCAATAGGACATAATCTTAAGTGTAGATAAGACTGCAAGCTAAGCCTGGATGAGTGCAGTTATTCTGCTATATCAGGCCCTGCATCTGCAACATGTACACATAATGATGGGGCTAACTCTAGTATCCTGTTTCTTGACATTCAAACTATATTTATTCTTTGATTTGCTTTTATGAACATAAACTCCATTGAGAACAGTGATCATGTAAAAGCAGGTCTTCATGAAACAATAATGGCCTTTACCTTGGGCCATTTTGTCTTTACATCAAGAAACTTGCCATATCAAGAAGGCACAATAATTAGAAATTCTAAACTAAGATTTCATACTCAGAGTCAACAAAGTAAGATTAGGCAGTGGGCTTGCGTGCATGCTACATTTTATGAGAAAGCAGATGCAAAGAGCCACAAGGACAAATATATGAAGCTGCCTTATGCTATCAGACCAATTATTCATTTAGACCAGTATTTTCTATGCTAGCTGGCAACAGCTCTCCACTGCTTTAGAAGGGGCTATGCCCTAGCCTCTATCTAGGAAAACGAACTTGGGGTCTTCACTGCCAACATATTTACTCAGCAGGCTGAGCTACAGCCCTTAAATGGAGCCCTGAGCTACAGTAACAGAATGCTCAAAGCTCTGACAGAAAAACAGATTAAAGCTCTGCCATAAAAACAATTTTTTTACCATTCACATGACAATGCCACTTAAAGGATAACCGATAAGCACAATACCACCTTCTGAAGATGTGTAGAATGTGCCACATCCACCTTCACAGACTGTCAAAGAATGTAAAAAGCCTAAGGAGTTGATTGCCACTTTCCTTTTTTTAAAAAGAACTCTGTACAGCCCAGCCACTTTTACTTGGAGTCTAACTGATAATCAGCAGCACTTACTTCTCAATGATTATTCCTAAGACTACAGCCTAGTCTAACAAAGGGTAACAGTGACCTTCTAGCTTTGGTGGCCAAGGCTAATGGGAGTTGCATTCCAGTAAGAGCTGGTGGGCCACAGTTACTCACCACTGAAGTCTCTTGCATAAGACCTTATTATCAGCCATAATGGACAGAGCTTATAGAACTTGTAGTCCAAAACATGTGGGTGGCATTATAGTGCTTACTCTTGCTTTACTGGTCTATGGGTAACAATATGTTCCACTCAAGTTAATTTGTATTATTTCACATTACTTGTAGTTTGATGCCTTAATGTATCTACTTCAAAGATCTAACAGGGAACATGTTTACCAGCTTCAACTCAACAAATAATATGCTTTCTAAATGATGTCCCATGTTTAGAATAGTAGTATTTATTTTGCAGTCACAGACCCAAAAAAGTTTAGAATAGCCTTCGAGATTTCAGCCATTTTATCTTAATTTAGGCATAGCTACATGCATTCTATAGCAAATAAATAGTTTTACACAAATTATTTTCTAGAGAATTTAACCATATAAATTAGTGCATCCATTCATCTGACTTTCCAAATTCGTCCTTATGTTTCCAGAAGAACTGGCCCAAATCATTGATCATTTTTAGACATCATGTTTTCAGCAGACCCTTGTATGTTAAAATTGGTCTTTTCGCCTAGAACAGGCAGCCTTAGTTTTAATTAAAAACAAAAGAAAACTAAATGCCATTATGAAAAGTACGTTTTCTTTTCCCATTATTGAACTGAAACATAGGGCACTTACCATTGGCAGATAAGTGAGCATGTCGCTGATATGCTTTGTCTATTTCTAAAAAGGCTTTGGTCAATACTAATTCCATGTCCTGCTCTTCAGCGAGAAATTCTCTGGAAAAAGCATTAACAAAGAAGTGTCAACATTAAAGTAATTTCCAAATAAAATAACACAAATGTAGCCCTCTATGTATTCAAAAGATTCCATGTGGTACTTGTGACATGCAGCAAACCCTCCCTGAAAGTGTCATGGTGATCCCTGCATCATCCCAACTGTGAACCTGGGAGGAAAGAAAGTAAGTGATTATTTGGCTATAACATAGCACAATCTAGCTGGAATATCTAGAACCACACACACACAACACTTTACAGCAGAAAAGAAAGGAGGTGCTGTTACATCGTTGCCTAGGACCTTCACACAGCAATGTCAAAAGCCGGTATGCTCTACTGGAAGGATCATCCCGACTACTACCTTCTGCATCTGCTGCTGAGATGGAAGGGTATCCAATGGCAACCACAACTTTTGGTTTGCCTGCCGAGGCTAACCAACAACTGTAGACTCTTGATAAGCAGATAGACCATATGTGGCTGATGGGATTACTTATAGTAGCACCAGGCAGAGGGGCTGGTAAATCACTTTTTGAGTACTTGATATCTGGAAAAACCTATGAAGGTTGCTATAAGTTGGAAACAAGAATAACTATCTTAAGAATAACAATGTGATGTAGTGACCTTAGTATGATCAGGTGAAATACACTGTCTTAATACTTTAGCAATACATATATACAGAAGACATCTTCATTAGGATTTTATGCAATCCAGAACTAACAACTAGAAAAGGATATATTTTATTGATTTATTTTCTTCCGCTGCACTAAATGAAACATCCACCCATGATAAGAAAGAAAGACCACCCAGAATCCACCTACTATGACATCGTAACATTGGTGGCTATGTTTCAGCAAGCATGATGCAGCCCTTCTAAAAAAAGGATTACAGACAACAACCTACACATTCATTTGGAACTCACCCAGAGTAGTGCTGCGACACTAATGGAAGTGGGATACAAACTGAATGAACGAACGAACGAACAAGTGAATGAGCGAGCGAATGAACAAACAAACTCTTGAGGACAGAAAATAAAAACTGCAATAGACCATGCTACCATACTGTTCTCTCTCCCACTTCCACTCAAAGAGCTAAACAAAGGCTAGACAACCAAGTCATACTCACTGGATATATTTCCGCATGTGCTTATTGCAGAACTCAGCAACTGCCACCCCACCATGTCCATCATAAACAGCAAAATATAGGACATTATCAGTCAGCTGGGCATAATCAAATCGGTCTTCATTTTCTTTCCGTTTCCCAATATGGCTGGCACAATGCACATGTGACAGGCTGACCTTGGGGATTGGCTTCCCATATTTTATGCTTGGTGGCAGGAGGATTGGCTCATCAATGCGGTTGTCCCAAATGCCAAAGGAGTCCCATGTGGCAGGGCGGCCACTACCATCCAGATCAAAGCGGGAGGTTCTGCGTTCACTGGTAGAGCTCTGGCATACAACTGTTACACGCTTTTCGTCTTGCAAAATGCGAGATGTTAGCAGCACTCTCCTTGCTTGGTGTCCCCTGGTTCTAGCCAGATTTATTAATGCAGCAGTGGACATAACTTGGTTCCAGAGAAGTTAGTGAAGAACAAAAGAGGGGAAAGCAAGTTGTGGAATGTCCTCAAATCAAAAAAAAAGCTGTCCAAGAGAAAGGTAAAAAAAGAAGAGGCAGTTAGTACATAATACCACAAAATACAATTTCAGAAGGCGTTCTATTGGTTTTTTTCTCTTTATTAATTTATTACCAACTGAACAAAAGCAAAACATGAGATCGCAGAGTGAAATGACCACAAAAGACGCAAATACCATTTCTCATTTCATTAGAACTATAGGTTTAATGTCAGGAAAAGAATCAGATCCATTTTATTTTATACTAGTCAGTTAATTCATCTTGAATAGTATGTATAATCCTGTACTTTAAGAAGTTTGTACACAAATGGGGACCAAAACAATAGAAACGGTTAAGGAATATAGAAAAATATTGAATGTTTGAAAAAACTAAATGGTAAAAATTGCATTGTGGTCTTTTTTCTGGCATAATACAATTAGTGAAATATCATTGGCAAATTGTTGCAAGTTAAGAAATTAGCATAGGTATTTGCTGTTGCATGCCAAGTTGTGTGCTCTCATGTACAATAGCAAAAGTCTGCACTAACTCCTTAACTTGCCGGAATTTGCCAGCAAGGTTTATGCCAATTATATTATGCCACTAGGTTGAACTGACAGGATTTTGACCAATGTGTTTAGTTTGGAGAAAATATGCCAAATTATATTTATAACTTATATTTACTAAAATACGTCTGATTTCCAACCACTGCTCATTGTTAGCTACACTGCACTTGGAGGCAGTAAAGCTATATTTACACCATCATTATGGAGCAATATTGTATCTCAAATTAGAGCAACTGTGAATGGTAATACTAATTACTTGCAACTTTTGATCAGTCCAGACATATGGCTTCCATTAAGCAATGCAGTTCAGAAAACAGTTTCAGATAGAAACCTGCACAGGGTTCAGTTCCTGTTTTAATACCTATCACGCACGCACAACCATTACCTTTTACATTACATTTTCTGACCCTTATCTTGGGTAATTAACAGACTATTCAAGGTTGGTGTTATCTTCAGACTAAACACTGTATAAAAGATTGAGGAGGGCAGGGCTTGAAGCTGAGAAACCAGATTTACTAAGCCCAGGTTTTCCTAGCAAAAGCTTTTAGCCTATGTGCTACATTAGCTCTCATGAAGATGGTGATAGCCTGGAACCCTTTTCAAGGGTTAATTGTACAAATAAAATCACTATCTTTACAAGGGAGCCCTTTCTCTCTTGGTCTTTTCCATGTGGAAAGCGATGTATCTGCATAACAGAGATGTTCCTGTTGGTGTTTAGGCTGTCCATGTAAGCAAGAACGCCGATTTTTCACAGTTCTTACTCACATGTAGAACATACACATGTCATTTTCCATGTGGAGAAAGTGATGGAGGAGGTGGAGCTTGTCACTCCTTTCTAATGGTGGTTTTATTTGTAGTTGTGTGGTTTTGGCCAAGCTCCATCTCCAGAAGGCGGCAATGATCAATAATTTCTGAGCACTCCTGGAAAGGGCTGCAGTAAGCCAGAATCCACTTGAACTTCCAGAATTATTATTATTGGAAGACGAATAAAGATTGTGCCTCAGGTCGAAACTGTGGCAATTACCAAATGCACAATGGTCAGCAGATCAAAAGTTTGTGTGGTGGAGTGATTTGGCCATCCTGGGCTGGTCAGAATTGTAGGAGACAGATAAGACAAGGGTGTCTGCTGACATACGGTGACACCATCTGCACAACCAGCCAGAACACAAAGGGGAACTACTTATGTATACATGAAGTGTAGGCATCCTTCAGTCTCGAGAGACTACGGTAATGTGCTCTGAATGGAGGTCTTGGAACAACATCCGGTGTGGCTGAGAAGGCCAGTACGAGAGTAACAATCCCTTCCACACTGAAAACAAATACAATCTGTCCCCTGTCCAGCTCCCTGATTTTGCTGATTTCAAGATTGCCTTTTTGCCTCTGCCTGCTGAACAAGTGTCTCTTCATATTGGGAGAGGCCATGCTGCACGACCTGCCTCCAGTCTGAATGCTCAGATGTCAAAGTTTCCCATGTGTTGAGGTCCATTCCTAAGGCCTTCAGGCAACAACAGCTGCATGATCAGCAAAGAGGAAGTCCCGCATGCATTTCAGCTGGACTTTGGTCTTCGCTCTCAATCTAGAGAGATTAAAGAGCTCTCCATCTGATCTAGTCTGGAGATAGACACCTTCTGTTGCAGTTCCAAAGGCCTGCTTCAGCATGACAGCAAAAAAGATCCCCAAACGGGTTGGTGCAAGGACACAGCCCTGTTTCACTCCACTTTGGATGTCAAAGGGATCTGATGTTGAGCCATCAAAAACTACAGTGCCCTTCATTTCCTCATGAAAGGACCTGATGACGTTAAGGAGTCAAGGTGGACATCCAATCTTGGGAAGTATTTTAAAACAGCCATCCCTGCTAACTACAAATCAAAGGCCTTTGTAAGATCTATGAAGGCCCGAAAGAGTGGCTGTCCTGGTTCCCTACATTTCTCCTGCAACTGAGTGAGGGAAAATACCATGTCAGTGATGGATCTATTAGCACGAAATCCACACTGTGATTCTGGATAGACTTTGTCTGCAAGCACTTGGAGTCTCTTCAGTACAACACAGGCAAGCAGCTTCCCTACAACGCTGAGAAGAGAGATGCCACGGTAGTTACTGCTGTCACCCCCGTCTCCTTTGTTTTTATACACAGTGACGATGAAGAACATGTGACGATACATGAAGGACTCCTCAATATGAAGAGCCCAGGTACTCCTTTTAGATGGAGCTGTCCTACACATGCAAGTGTATATTGATATGTGTATGTAAGCCACTGGAGGGACTTTGTGGCTTAGGAGCAGGATGAAAATGCTGTCAATAAATGACACGTGCATATCAGGCCTTCTTACATCTGTCAAATGTATGAGATGCAGGCAAGGGTGGCCCACTTGCCTCATAATTCCCTTCCATGTATTCTTCTTTCAACATGGCAGGGAGAAATCATCTGGACACTCTCAACACAGCCCACACCACCAGATTACTGCTTGGATAAAATGGGGTGCAGGAAAAATACTGTCTTAAAGGTCCCTGGAGGAAGAACAGAAAAACAAAAAAAAGCTTAACAGAAACCTCAGCTTGTCTTCCATGCTCATAAAAATGTCGGAAGGAAAAGTAGTATGGTTTTATTGTGTGCTAATTATGGAATAACTGAGCCAAGGAATTACACTAGCAGAGCAGTTTGCTGTGCTAACATTTCTACAAGATAAGGACCTGACATCCGTGCCAGGTCTGAGGTACAGCTTGTGCTTCTCGCTGGAGAAAGCTGTCCCTCAGGCCATTCCTTTCTTTACTAAAAACCACAGAGAACAGGCAGCCGAGTGGGAGCGGCCTGTTGGGGGGCAGGAAGAATGGGAGTGGCCATAGCTGGTTGCCAAGGAGACGGGGAGAATACCAGGGAGGGGCAGTTATGTCAATTATTAGAGAGAGACCAAGTGGGGCATGAGGGAAGGGAAAAATCACTCACTGGAGGCTTGCAAGAAGCAGGAGGCCATTGTTCTAATTCTGCTTTGAGCAGACAAGTTATTTATGCTGCTGCTAAGTTTATAGTTTGGGCTGTACCAATTCAAGTAGCTAGTGAGAGACAGAGTGATTATATGCTTGTAAAAGAAATCCTTGCACAGTAAAAAAAATGAAGATGTGAGAGGAAAGGCTAAAACACACTCTGCAGATATGATTTTGATAGAGGAAAGGATATGTGAGGCTCCTGCTGTGGGTGATATGCCATAGCCCAGGATAAGATTTATCTCCTCAATGAGAACTAAGCCTGTGGCATCATTTAAACATATACTCTGATCCCTGCAATACCTGATGCAGAGGTCTTGATTTTATTTATTTTATTGGATTTCTAACCCGTCCATCTAGGCCAAAAGGTCTACTATTTGATATTAAAGGCTGTGTAAAATAAATGTGTCATGCATGTTTTAAATGCTTGCTTTCTGTCTGGACAACTGTACACAGAAATATGGATTCTGTGTAGAACACAATACATTCATGTGTCCTTCTCAAGAATATGATTTGGGTTTCTTTTGCAATTAATATTTTGGGTAAGGAAGGAATATGAAAACAGCTCACAATAAACTCAACAGAAACCTAATAAAATCTATCTTGGCTCAATGAAATGCCATTTTACATTTCCCACAATGCCACAACATAATATTGCATCAGAGCCATTGTGGGAAATGAAAAATGGCAGCTTGTCTCTCCCCTCTATTGCCATCAGTTAAGTCTGAGCAGGAGACCAGCACTAGGTCATTTATTTACCAAGTAACACCACTACCACCACCCACAACAACAACAACAACAACAACAACAACAACAACAACAACAACAACAACAACAACAACAACAACAGAGCCAGCTGTCTTAGATAACTCTCCTTTTTAGTAATACATTCCCTTTAACACATTGTTTAACTGCTTAAGAACAAAGATTAGATAGCAGCTGCAGCAAGATGCTATCTCCCAAACATTTGCTTCATAAAACACTTGCTCTGAATTAACTGTTTTATTCATTCAAAGGTAAATATATTCACAGCACGCTGGACTGTGTAAAGTACACAGTAAATGTGTTATCATGCAATAGCAGAGCAGCAATGCAAGATTCTTGGGCGCTGCCCATGTATTGGAGGTGAGATGCTGAGACTGAAAAAAAAAGTACTTCACCCAAAAATGTCACTTAGCAGGTTGATAGCCAAATAAACCATGGAATGCTGCAATATTTATGTCAGTTTCTCAGGAACCATGCTATAGCAGCAGAGGAACACATACATCATGCTACTCTATAAAGTAAACTATTATTCAAGTGTGCATTCAGTGCATCAAGAGCAATTTTAAAACAAGGATGTGGCAGGAATACTTGCTGTCAGCAAAAACTGTTCTGAAGAAGCTGCGGTCAGACCAGTGGATCACGCATATTTTGGGTCACTGTTACATGCATTAGTCAGGTTTTGCAGGCTAGCATTTTTTTTGCACCCTAGCTAACCGATG